TTAGAATTAGAAAAGGCTCATATTTTCCTTCAGCTAAACTCCTGCACCCAATTCCTGGATGTCAATTCTGTCTCTTCCCTTGATCCTGACACCTACCATATTTTTAGTGTATAAGACGCACCCAGATTTTCAGCCTCTTTTTTGAGGGGAAAAAGGTGCATCTTATACTCCGAAAAATACGGTACCTCTCAAATATATGGAAAGAATTTTACTCCAATGTCTATAGCTGCCATCTCAGAATACCATAAAAACAGCTGGATATCCACCTGACGAAATCCCCCCAAAAAAACATTTAGGACATTTGGAAAATCAGAAAGTAATGGTTAGAAACATTATTAAAGAACAATTGAGGTATATTAAAATAAAGGGTAAATAAATACAATATGGAAATCTGTGACAAACCTCATCTTACTTGAACTCTATACATCAGGTTTTGTATTCAATTATATTAGGTCACAAACTGAACAAAAACTATATATAAATGAAAATTGGGATTGGTATTAAAACTTTCTGAGAGAAAGCCACCTGAAGAGACTAGAAGCATTTGAAATGTGGATTTACAGGCAGCTGTTACGTATAAGCTGGGTTGACAAAACCAGAAGTGAGGTAGTGATAAGCCGCCTAGGAAAGACAAGGGAAATCATCAAAACCATTAAAAAGCGAAAGAATATTTTGGACGTGATGAGACATCCAGAAAACTATGGCATCTTTCACTTAATCCTCCAAGGAATGATTGAAGGCAAAGGAGGTCCAGGCAGAGGAAGAACATCATGGCTTCAAAATCTAAGGGACTGGTTTGGACAAAGAGCACTTCTCTGTGCGGCTGTTGATAAAAATAGGATTGCTAACATGATCACCAACATCCGATGGATATGGCAAAAGAACAAGAATTAAAACTTTGGAAAAAAGATAAGGCCTCAAGGGGGAGAAATCAAGCACAGAAGAGGTCAAGACTCACTGAACAGCAGAAAAGTAAAGGTCAGATAAGCACGGAAAATTGTGTTCAGAAATATTTGAGGGATCAAGAGGTATTGCAGTTATGGATCGTAAGAAATCTTAGAAAAAGAAGAGGATCAATCAGGTTGTGAATTTGAAAGTATTTTGAAACAAATTCCTCTAAGGAATATACCATATCTGAATAAGTTGTTCATCTCTCTCTCGGGTTCTATTATATTTATTCCTTTTCATACTTTTGGGTCACTCTACCTGTTTGATTGAGGCATTAAGAGCCAGTTCAGTTGCGTCTTTTTTTGTCTCACAAAATATGATGGTTCGTCCATGACTCCCGCTGTAGACTTGAATGACATCTCCAATCACTGCAGCTCTTTGGGACCAATGACATTCGATGGCTAAATGCTGCCAAAGCAAAGCCGTATTCATTAGCAATTAGCAAAAAGAAAAGGATGTGGGTGACAGAAATAAAAAATGTGAAATTCTGGTTGTCCATCCATGCCCGCCATCTCAATCCTCTCTACTAGACCCTACAGACGCCCTTAGAAAGGGCTATGTGTATGCATACATGTTCATGATTTCCATCCAGATGCAGTTACAGTGTTAATCTTATGCTATTATAAAAAAGTTAATTTACCTCTACAGTCATAGCAGTTTTTTTAGTCTTCTTTCCAATAAGATCAACTTGCTCATATTTGGATTTCATATATTTCTTTGCTACATTGTAAACCCACTGAGGGCACGTTGCAGAAAACAAGAGTGTCTGTGGATTATCTTCGGAATCTTAAACAAATAAATAACACATATAAATCTTTAGAAAATCCATAGACATGCTCAAAAAAGAGCAAAGCAAGAAACATTTTTTATGATAGTATCTAGAAATAAGTTTTGTGAATCTGAATGCCCTGCTTTCACTTGCATCATGACATTTGAAAAACTCAACAGATTGCAGGTTTCAAACATTCCACAAATGAGCCAAGTAGCATCCAATGATTTGAATTCACAATATTTTGTACATCTCTAATCATTGCTATGTAAAATATACCATATTTTGGGGAATATAAGACACACTTTCCCCTCCCTCTAAATGAGGCTGAAAATTTGGGTGCGCCTTATACACCAAATGTAGCCCCGCACATCCGCCAGCCCCCACCCTTCAGCCTCCGCCCGTTTCGTTTTAGACCTGTTCCAGGCTGCAGGGATTGTCACAGACACCCACCCACCCCCCGCTGCGCTTGCGTTTTTGGCTTCTGCACCTTCGCGAGGTGCAGAAGTCAAAATGGCAACCCGGAACAGCTTCCTTTTCTGACTAGTTCCGTGCTTCGCTTACTGTACTCACTGGAGCTCCCTGCGACAATCAGCTGAGTTTTTGAAGCTGCGTATCAGCCCCAATGAGGTATGTGCGAGCGAAGCAAGCATGCACGCTCATAACCAGTGAACCTGTTGCTAAAGTTCACTTCTGGGAACAGCTGATTGGGGGTATTCCAGGAGGCCGATCGACCCACCAATCAGCTGCTCATGTTGAATCAGACTAATGTGCTGAAGCTGACCAGGCTGTTTGCTAAGGACACTAGCCAGATGAATACAGATGGATGCTGGTAGGCAGAAGCAAAAACTCCCCCCCCCTTATTTTCCTCCTCAAAAATGAAGGTGCGTTTTATATTCCGAAAAATATGATAATCAATATGAATCTCAGAATATTGATTATTTGTGTGCTATCATTATTGCCAAATACTTCCAAAGTGTTTTTGGATGGGCCAGCAAAAAAAGAAATAAGGGAATAAATTATTATGCTTTTAGTATACAGGTGGTCCTCGCTTAACAATCACTCATTCAAACTTGCAATGTCTCTGAATAAGTGGTACTTATGAACAGTCTTCAAAACTTCCGGCTGTTGCAGCATCCCTATCACTGTCACTATTTGTGACATTTTTTGCCAACTTCCTACAAGCAAAGTCAGTACAGAAACAATAGGGTCGCAAATGATGACATGATGTCCTTGCTTAATAACGGCGTTGGATTCTCTTAAAGACTTGCAATTAGGAAGAGCTAGAATAGCTGTTGTTAAGCAATGCAATCATCTGTATCCCATTTTAAAACCAAGTCGCTTAGTGATTATAATTCTACTCCCAATTGCCCCTGACAACCTGTATCCCAGGTTATTTTGATATAGGTTTTTAACTACATTCCAGTTCTTTATATTCAGGCCCTATGACACATTACAATTGGCTCCAAATTAAACTTACTGTACGAAGTTAAATTTGACATAGAATCAGTGATCGAATCAGGGGAGAAATCCTCTGAAATCTGCTACCAGTTTGCTTTGCGCACACATACACGGCGTTCGCCCGAATCAGAAGTAAAAAACTGCTGCCAGTTCGGGTAAACCGGTAATTCCAACAATCAGCTGTGCTACAATCAGCTGTGCTGCAAGATTTCTAATTATCGCAACTACCAGTTCGCCCAAACAGGTACCATTTTTTTACTACCAGTTTGGATGAATCGGTCCGAACTGGTAGCATTTCACCCCTGAATCGAATGGACCAACTGGTTTTCCTACTCCTGCACTTAATCCCTTACATCTTCTCTGAGCATTAAAAGCAAGGAACAGAAGATTCCAAAATAGAACAGATACATAGACAACATGCTTACCCTTCTTATAAGAATTCACTAAGATTTCTTCTACTTGTTCAGCAAATCCCATATCCAACATCTGATCAACTTCATCCAAGACAACATGTTTCAATTTAGAAAAGTCCAATTTATTATTTTGGAGGTGATCTTTTATTCGACCAGGAGTCCCAACGAGGATGTCAATGCCATTTCTAATTAGATCCACTAGAAGGAATTTTAACATGTTATGTATCAAACTTGCTGCTTAACTCTTATTGTAAGGCCAATGTTCTGAAATCTGTCAGCATTATTTATGTGTTTGACCTATATTAGTCACCAAACATGTTCCAACAATTTTCATCATCGTGCACTTAATTTAATACATATTCTAAATAATTGTACAAATATAAGAATCTAAAGCCACAATGAACTTTTACTTTAAACTAGGCACCACTCTAAAGTATCTAAAGCATCACACTAAAGCGTCCCTTCAAGTATGCATACATTAAATTGATTTTGTTTCACTTTGATATATGTTTTCAGTTATTTCAAATAACACATTAAAATAACGTTACAATTTCATTACATTTCTGAGTCCAACAAATGAACATAATGCATTACAATAGTTTTTTTTAGAAGTATTATGGAGCAATATAATGCACATTAAAAAAAAAAAGTTTAAAAATGTATTTTTAATTGAAATGTTATATCATCAAAAAGTAAATTGTACTTTCTTACACTGTCCATTATACGCTGTTCCTCCATAAAAACAAGCCACGGTAAGTTTCTTTGTAATATCTTTGAAGTCTCTGGCAACCTGCATTGCCAATTCTCTGGTTGGAGTCAGAACTAGTACCTAATTACAAACAAAGAATTATTTGTGGATTCTTCTACAATTAGCACAAAGAGCAAGGTGAATCATCCTCCCCATTCCCAAAACATAATAAAGATGTTAAGGCAAATAGATCTGCAGCCCATATGATTAGAGCAGCATCACTATGTACTTCTCATGTATAATTATATGAGCAGGGTGGATAAAAATTGATTATTTTTTAAAAAATAAATTTAAAAATTTGGATTTTTAAATTTTTAAATCAGATTTATTTTTATTTTTATCAAATCTATTTTAATAAAACACTTTTGGAGTAACAATCAATCTAAAGATTCTATTAAAGATACATTAATAATTTAATTTATTCAGCATGACATGGAGCTTAGTTTTGTAGCATGAGTCTATATATATTCTGCAATATTGGGACTGTTGGTGAGTCAACAGCAGGCCAGAGGAAGAGCCGCTGTGGGACAGAGATGACAGTTGCTCTTTAAAAATTATGATTTAAATCGAGTTGATTTAAATCAAATCTACCGTGCATGAGTGACTAATGTATTTTTGTCCCCCCACTCAAGTTTGTAATTTCATTGTGACTTAATTACCTTTGGTGAACGGCCTCTTTTTCTTTCCTGTGGATCTCTATCAAGTTTTTCAATTAATGGAATGGCAAAGGAGAATGTTTTCCCTGTTCCTGTCCGAGCTTGGGCAATTACATCTTTGCCTTCAAATACTGGCTTGAAAGTCTTCACTTGTACTGGAAACAGGTGGGTGACACCACGAGCTGTGGAAGAATACGATTAGATTTTCTCTAGAAAAATATATGTTTATCATGATTAGCCCTAAATTTTTCTGTAACAAAACTTAAAAAAAAAAAATACACAAGAGAGACTATGCTAGAGACATTTTTATTAAATACTTTACAAATTACTACACTCAAGTGACATGGAGTAAATCCAAGTCCAGCATTCTACCTAAAAGCAACAACATCCAGCAGATCTATGAATCAAATCTTCCTTCCTTCCTTCTTCCTAGAACAGTGTTTCTCAAGCTTAAAAACTTTTACATGTGTGGACTTCAAGTCCCAGACTTCCAGCCAACATAAAGTTAAAGTCCACAAATCTTAAAGTGGCTGAGACTGAGAAATGCCATCCTAGACATTTACTCTGATAATTAATCTTATAGATCATGGCATATTTTTTTCTTTTGTCATGAGGCTACAACTAATTGCTGAACTCTAGAATGATTAAAAAAATGCCTGGAGACCACCTTCCTACAGAAATATGCAAAATATCAATTGTAAAAGGATTTCATACTACTCAGGTGTTTGCACCAAGAAATTACAGCTTTTATCATTTTTAACCAAGCTATCTACAGTGTGTATATCTACATGAAATGTTGTCTGTGGCACCAAACATTATTATTCCTCAACTTTTATCTCATAAAGAACATGAAATTTATTCATGAGTTTACAGGATCTAGTAAAAATCATAGTAACATCAGAGTAAGTCAAAATTGACCCCTTACTTCTAAAAGAAAACAGCATATTCATTTGAAAACCAAGTTAACTTCTATGCAAATCTTTTGCAAGCAGTAATTCATCAATTAAATTAAGAATATTTCAATTATACCAATTCTCATCTGCTAACATCAAATCCTTTCATGCAGAGAACATCAGGCTACCAGATAAAATTTGCTTTGGGCTGAAAACATTCAAAGAGTGTACCTTTCAGAAGATCAAGGGTTGCTTTAGAGATATCAAAATTGCTAAAAGCACCTTCCTTTTGTTCTGCTGTTAGTTCCTATTTTAAACAAAAATAAAAAGCAGTTATTTTTATAAGATTTTAATTCCAAAAAATATTTAAAGAACTGAAAGAAAAAAAGCATCTACAGTACTCAATACCCACACTTTGAAATATTCCCAAGGGGGAAAAATTAAATGCAACTATTGTTATAATTTATTTTCAGAGCAATAATGTATACAGCATGTATATGTGTAATTAATAACATAGATGTGCTAAGATTGTTAAATACAAAATGCACCAAAGATAAACATTAGAAATACAAAGAGTAAGAAAATATAAAATAATGGAAGACAATTACTACCCTTATTTTCCCTGAAAATAAGACCTTCCCGGATAATCCAATCGGGCTTTTGAGAGCATGCGCTAAAATAAGCCCTCTGCCAAAAATAAGCTCCTCCCAAAAATATTGCAACACAGCAGCAGCTATGAGGTGACAACGCTCACCACCTCATACACCTCAAGAAAAATAAGACTTTCCCGAAAATAAGGCCAAGCACTTATTTTGGGGAGCAAGCAAACCGGCACTAAAAAAAAAGCCGGAACCCACCCCTGCCGAGGTGAGATTGGAACCATCCTTGGTGTTCCTCTACAGAAATCCCTTAAAAATTATTATGTCAACAGGCTCAGGAGTCTCACAGAAATGGAGATTTAATGAGGTGGCTAGATTGTATATAACATCTATGCCAGTGATGGCAAACCTTTTTTGGCTGCCCTGGGAAAAGCGGAGGGAGCACGGGGGGGGGGCGGGCATGCGCTGGCATGCCACACCAATGCTATGCGCACGACCACCCCAAGCACATGCGCATGCACACGATCAGTGACCACCACCCCGCTTTTGCCGTGGTTTTTTCACCTTCCCCAGGCTCCAGAGGATTTCTAGGAGCCTGGGGAGGGCGAAAACAGCCTCCCCTTCCCCGCTCCCCTGGACGCCCTCCAGAACTTCCCTGAAGCCTCTGAAGGGCAAAAAACAGACCTAAGGGGAACCCAGAAGTTCGGGAATGGTGATTTTTGGGTTTCCCATAGGGCCGATTTTCTACCTCTGGAGCCTCCATGGGTCTTCAGAAGGCTTCCCTGAAGGCTCCAGAGGGTGAAAAACAGCCCTACGAGCAAACCGGACTTCTGGTTTGTCCGTAGAGCCATTTTTCTCCCTCCGGGGCCTCAGGGAAGCCTCTTGAAGGCTCCGGAGGGCGACAAACGGTCCTACGAGCAAACCGGAAATCCATTTCTAAATTTCCGGTTTGCCCATAGGGCTGGTTTTTCGTGCTTTGAGCCTTCAGGGAAGCCTCCAGAGGGCGAAAAATGAAGTCAGCTGGCCAGCACACACATGGTTGCTGGCCAGCTGACAGGGCAACGCCTCGCATGCCCTAACAAATGGCTCCGTGTGCCACCTGTGGCACGCATGCCATAGGTTCACCATCACGGATCTATGCTCTTCCTACCCTGTTTTCTATTTAATATTATTTTAATTTTAGAGTATTTTTGTAATTATTTTTTATGGTTTTATGTACACCACCCAAGTCACATTTCGCTGAGATTCATGGCAATAAATATGTCTGATAAGTAAATGTCTTTTTTTAAAAAAATGTTTTATGGGTACATTTTTTCTTTAAAAACATAAAAAATTCCATGTCTATCTGAACAGTCTGGGCATAATTCATTTTGTGTAAAGGTACAACAATAACCATTATCATACTAGTAATTTTAATAAACATAGCAATATTAATCACAAAATAATAATACAATTAGTTTGTCCATCTTCCAATATTTTCAATACACATTTTATTATCTCTTTAAATTCCTTTTAAATTCTAACCTCTGTTTCTGTTAGTTAACGATTGGTAAAATATATCCCATTTTAAAAAGTATTCTGCTTCTTTCTTTTATCTTAAGTGTCAGTCTACCCATCTCAGCACATTCTAATATTTTTTATTACATTTTCATAAGTAAATGTCTTGTTGCAGTATAGATAGTCTACATTTGGAGACAACTGGGAACTGGCTACTTGATTATTAAGTGAAGCAGTCACTACGTGAAACTATAATTGCACTTATGATCTTCAGCTTTCCTTTGCTTTACAGACCTGTAAAGGTCATAAATGCAAGTATTGGTCACAAAGTTACTTTTTCATCATTGTCATAATCAAACAGTCCCTAAAACAAAGACTACCTATTAACCATCATAAGAAAGTGGCTCTATATCTCAATATGATATGTTAATATGATAAAGGACCTAATATTACACATCTTGACCACAAGAATTGTGTATGTGCAGCAGTGGAAGAGCGAAAATGCCCCTTCAGAAGAGGAGACGATAAGATACTAGTCTGTGTGCAAATGAACAGACTAACATTAAAAATAAAAGATAAAGGAGATACAGAATACTATGCTACAATGGGATAGATTCTACCAATGGTTAGAAACATGAGGTAGAAGTTGGAATGTGGAAAAAATCAGGTTAGGTGGACATGGAAAGAGATACTATATATGTATTAGAATGTAGGTATTAGAATGATAGATAAGTTGACATACTAGAATATGATGGTCAGAAATTACTGTACAACACTAGCACTGTTTAAAATAGTATATATGTTATTTTGTTTTTACCTTTGTTTTATGGCAAGTGAAACTCCAGGACAATTATACTGTATTTAATATATTTATATGTAAACAATAAAAATATATTTTAAAAAAGGAAAGTGGCTCTATATCTTAATATTAACATACTATATTTGAAATCAGAGAATGAGATATGCAGCCTGATTCTATGCTTTTTATTCAAACTCCCAGTCTATAAAATCATGTTTATATACCATATTTTTCGGACTATAAGATGCACCTGTGTATAAGATGCACCAAAGATTTTGAAGAGGTAAGAAAAAAAAGTTTTTGTCTTCCTTGGCCCCCAGGAGCACTCTACAGGCAGGCTGGGGGAAGGCAAAAATGCCCCAACTTTTGTGAAAAATGGGCTGAAAATGGGCTGTTTTTTGGAAAAACTGTGGCATTTTTGCTTTTCCCCAGAAGCACTTTGCAGGCTTCAGCAGGGCTGGGGGAAGGCAAAAATGCCCCCGTTTGTGAAAAACGGGCAGAAAATGGGCCGTTTTCCGCAAAAACAGGAGCATTTTGGCCTTCCTCCAGCCCTGCTGAAGCATGCAGAGTACTTCTAGGGGCTGGGGGAAGGCATCCAAATGGGTTGCAGGGGCGGGACTTCGGGAGGCCAAAAATGGCTGTATTCGGTGTATAAGATGCACCAACATTTCCACGTTTTTAAGGGGAGAAAGGTGCGTCTTATACTCCGAAAAATATGGTAATCTCAAAAATACTTAATATTCAAATAGAAATGCACATAAAGATTATACTAATGAGTCATCAAGATTACGCTTTGCCCTGACATAGCTGTAAAATGCCTGATCTTTCTACTTTATAGTATTGACATTCTAAATAAAATATATTTAGTACAGAGAATAAATAATCTCACCTCATCTTGATCACTTTCACATTCTATATGTGAATCTTCACAAGAATTCTTCTCCTTTTTTGAGTGCTTTACCCCATTACTCATGTGAGATATTGAATTGCATTCTGAAATTCCATCTTCATTTTTAACAGCCATTTCTTTCTTTTTTTTAATTTTCTTTGCTTTTGGTGGCTCCAACTCCAAATCCAGTAATTCAGTCTCGGCTAATGTATGCTTTTTCCGTTTCTGCTTTTCTGCTTTATCTTTTTTATTCTTCTGTAAAGCAAGCATATTTGAACAAACATATTCAAATTATTAGACATACTTTCTTCAAACCCCCACAAATCATTTTTCTAACATTTATTACAATGTTAGGAATATAATTTTATACAGAAGAAACCAAGAAGAACAGAATCGTTGCTAAAGACATATTGCTACATTTTTGGTGTGAACAGGATGCAGAAAATGGAAAATGTGTTTTGTTTTAGATCTGAGACAAACATATTGCAAATTGAATTACACATTAGCAAAAGTCAAAGATTCTGGGTTCTGGGCTACCTGAGTGGTGCAAATGGTTCCTGTAGTCTACAATTTTTTCCTCTAAAAATCCATTCCTGCTCCCACACAATTCAGTGACCCCAAGGACACAGATAACCCTCCAAGTGCTTCAAGGACCCTCTAAAAGGATGCAATGACCAGCTGTCTGCAAGGAATAAAAATCCTTCCATTCCCCACTATCCTGTCAGAGTTGAAGAAGCCTCTTGGATGAGAAACGAAACATCTTCAAAGAAAAAACAAGAAAGTCCAGTTGCCTCCTGAAAAAGCACCTTTGGGACAACCTGGATGACTGAGAATCTCTACAGACTTTGTGCATTAAATGGTAATTAATGCTCCACCCACAAAATGTACTATTGACATGAAAGATGACATTTAAAGAATACATAACCATCAAGTTTTAAAACACTATCTTTCTACTAATTAAACAAATGACACATTTTCCCCTTTGGCATAGATTTCATAATACAGTATTT